TAAGTTCTTAAGGTTTAGGTGGAAATTTTTGATAAAATTTTGGTCAAGGAATAAAAATTTTTAAAAGTTCTTTTGATGTTTTCATTTCAGCTATAATAAAGGCTTTCTGGAATTATTGATAAAACAGTCAATTCAGTTTTGGGGGGAAACTGGCATTTGTGACTATCTTGAGTCAATGCCTTTGTGTTGAGAATAAGTACACAAGGGGTTAAGAGTTACTTGTCAGGTAACTCTTAACTGTGTAGGGAGAAAGGGATTCAGCCTTAGTAATATCACAGTCAAAACCTAGGACCCACTGACTGCCTTTCTTAGTAGTCACTGTTCATAGTTCTGGTTTAGAAATGGAAGATAAAAGATCACATTTTCTGTTTAAAAAGTAATCTGAGCAAGCTATACCTTACAATTTTTTTTTTTTTTGATGGGCTAACCACTTACTGAGATAAGGGAAAATCCAAGGTAACAAAAAAGTCACATTATGGAGTCATAAAAAGTCATGACACAGTCTCAACTTCTGAACATTTGGGGGAAGCAAAGAATTATTCTAGAGAGAAATAAGTTGAAAACTACCTGCGGCTTATTTTCCTAATTTCCAACTAAGCTTTTGCTGATAGAAATCAATGAGAAAGTATAATGCTTTGCTGCCTCAGATGGAGAATTTACTTAATCAAGCATACTTCTAAATATATTTTAAAGTATCATTAGTGTCTATAAAGAAAGAAAAAAAAAGATGATCCAGGAGCCAGTGGGAAAGCCGCCAGCTTTTTAGCTGACTGCTCTCTTCAACTTGCTGAAAATAAAAGAAATTGTATAAACGTTTTTCAAAAGTATAGGATGATTTATATTGGGAAAAGGCATACGAAAGTTTAATTTTTACTCTGCCCCACCTGTTACTAATACAGTAAAATATCCTAACAGAAAAACACTCATGTTTACTACAAAGACCCAAATATCTTTTGTCTGCTTTTGGATCCGAGTTACATTTAATCCTCCACCTTCATTTTTTCCCATTTTTATATGGTTTCATAGGCAATGGAGAAACTTTCCAGAACTCTTTCTTCATGAAGATAGTTTCTGGGGAAGTCAAGCATGTGAGCATTGGTTCATATAGTAGGCCCTTGGTAATTCTATGACCAGAGTTGTTTCCCTGTGGTTCACAGTGAGGCCTCAGAGAAGTGCGCAGTCCACTGGTAGTAGAAATGGGACACCATGGTACCTGATTCTTTCCCATCCCATTTTTATCACTGCTTCGCAGAGACTATAAAGCATCCTGCAAAAGGAAAAGAGAAAAGATCTTTGAACTCCAAATCTAGAAGCATGGTGAGTAGAAGTTGTTTGCAGGAACTCACGCTTGGCCCTCTTTGTGAAGCAGGTGAACAGCAGCTCCAGAGAACCCCAACCAAATCTTCACATGATGCATTGGACTTGGTGGTCTGTCCTTCACACACTCACACAGTCAGACCCGCAAAGCCAAATGCACTGACCACCAAAGTTACGAACTTTTGCATTGGAAGCATACACGCTAACAAAGTCTTTTCATCAGCACATCATCTTTTTTTTTTTTTCCTTCTTTTTTTCGTGGTAATTTTGTTGTTTTTTTTTTTTTTTCTTTTTTTTACTAGGTCTCATATGCCTGACATTTCAGCAGTGTTTTGCTAAAGCTCTTACTGTGAATACTGTGTAGTATGTGTACAAATGACTCCTAACTTATTAGATTTCTTCCAGTGCGTGCATCCTGGCAGAAGACACCCCAGCAGGCCTCGAGCACTGCTGCTGCTTCACTTCACATAATGAATATTCAGAGGCTGCAGTCATTGAGAACTCAGGTGGCAAAAATAGTAAGGTGATTGAAGCAAACCCTAACATGAAAGCAAATCTGCATTTCAGCGACTCAGACACACTGATTACAGCACAGATTCCTGACCCCCAGACCCCATGAGAGGAGAGTCCTGGGGAACCTCCTATGAATCAGGCATCTGTTCCATACACCAACCTGCTCACGTCTTTCTGTATGATGTGTTGTAATCAGCATATTGTTTTTAAAAGACAACAAGCCCTTCTGTAGTCCTCTCCACAAAATGCATTTAGGCTGATAGTTGTTCAGCATAAAGGACGGACTGTTGAGACGGGCAATACGTGCATTGTTTCCCTGTAATGCAGTCAGGATCTCCAGAGCAAAATTTAGTGTGTTTTTTGAAATCTTATTTTATATATTTTGTCACCATCAGCAGTTGAACTAAAGTAGGAACAGCTCCATTCTATCAGGGGTTAAATTATTCTCAGTGTAGATCTAGTGGTGATGTATAAATTGCAGCCTTTTCTTTTTTTCAAAGGATTCTAAAATAGGTTTTCAGAATTAGTGCTGGATTTCTGCTTCTGCATGTGTGGTGACTCTTGATTCTTCCCCTTTGGAGAAGCATCCTTTGCAGCATTCCCCCTTCCGAGGAATCACTTAGACACTTCCAGCTGGTGGCAGGGGATACAGCCATAATACAGCTTCCTCTGTCCCAGCTGTCTTCTTCACTACAGTAAATGCATTACGATGGCTGCACTCTCCTGTAAAGGTTCAGGTAGAGGAAGGTGTAGGATGAAGTCCGGACAGCGTCGTTGGGGTTTTTAAAAGCTTCAGCTTCTCCAGCATCTTTTCATTGTGAATGTCTTCCTGCTGCTAGTCAAAGCTTTCTCTCTAGTGGTTGGAATGCCGCTGTAAGCCTGATTAAAGGTGCCTGAGGATATCACCTTTTACAAGGAAGCCCTGCGTGCTTGAGAGGATCTTTTTAAATGCATTATGGCTCATGCAGCCTCACAATTAAAGAAAACCAGGGATTTAGAAATCAATGCTGAAGAAGAGCCTGAGAAAAAAAGGAAACACCGCAAACGGTCCCGGGATCGGAAGAAAAAGGTAGCTGTGTATGCCAGAGCATATGTCTTGCCTGGATTCTTTTTGTTTTTATCTCTCCCTGGCATCTGTTAGAAGCATTTAGGGCTATTTTTTACATGCTGGGTAGAGTGTAAATTGGGTGTGTAAATTGGAAACAGATGATAAAACCCTATGGCAGACCATGGTCATAGGATGGGCAAGGCAAGGTTTTCTGGAGTGGGGTGATTGCAGGGCTATGCGGAAAGTGTGCTTCACTTTACATAGGATAGGCATGGGCTTGTTTCCATGACACACAAAGGTGTTGTGAAGGAGTTACAAAAGTAGTTTGTTCACAGCGCAGTCAAGGTTAAATGCACTGCGGTGACCTAGGGAGAGGGAGAGGCCAGAGAGCCAGATTTTGTACTTCTTAGAGGTTTGTCTCGTGGAAAAAGAGCTTTTGTGCTGGAACTGTGTCACATGCGTGCGTTTCCCAGGCAGATCTGTGACCTTAGAGACGTAGCACAAAAGTCATTTCCTGCTTTGCTTTTATTTCCTCTTTCTTCCCTTTTGCCTGCTATTTCTACAAGGTGCTTTTTGTCAAGTTGTGCAATGGAAATAAGCTGCCAGAAATAACTTTCTTTTGTTAAATAAAGCTGAAATCACAGAGGTTTGTTTTTTCCTGCTGGGTGATTATTCCTGAATGCAGGAATTCCAGGGACCTGCAACCTTCAACACTAATCGTGTTAGATCAACGTATGGACATTGATGATTCCTTACTGATACTCCAAGGCAGGGGGAAAATAGGAATAGTCTGGGTCAGTGGTGGTTTATGAAAGCCCATGAGTACTAAGAGTGTTTGCCCTTAAATATGACTCCTAGGTACTGACCCGGGAGTAAGACCCCAAAGTATTTTTCCTCCATGATAATTAACAAAAATTGACGAAAACTCTGATCTGAATAGGAAAGGCAGGTCACAAAGCATTTTAATGTGTCTTTGTGAAAAATCCCAGGGGAAAGATATCCTTAATTTGCTCTGAGCAGTGAGGCATGTGCTTCCTAAATGACATGCAGTTTTCATCTTCCACATGTACCTCTCTTCAGAAGTGACAGTGAATATTTCTGGTACCTTTGCCATTTTCTTCAGAGTCAGGATCTATAGAAGACTCTCTGCCTTTTGTTGCATCGCAGACTTTAGGTTGAAGCTGGAGAGCTGCAGTTGTTTTGCTGCAAGATGTTAAATATAGATAGTTCCTACTTTGATATTCTTGTAAATAAACTTCTTGAATATATTTTCATAAAGAGAAGAACTTGGGTTAAGAAACTGTGTGCAGGCGTATTTCAAAGCCTTGCACAGCAGAGTTGTTATGAAATTGCCATACTTTGCTAGATTCTGGGCTAATTTTATTGTGTGAGGTTTCTCTGTGGGTAGGTCACTACCACTTGCCCCCTCTCCATACATCTCTACCCACCCCTAACATGATAAACTAGCTTCTAAGAAACATGGAAAAGGTACATATATTTGTATGAAGATACGGTGTCATATTAATATTGACACTGTATGTTAGGGTTGTTAGGCTAGCTAGGTTTGCGTACAGCGGTTTTCTGTAGCAGCGATGACAGATCTGTCACCTTCATGTCTGGGCCCCTGTTTGACTTGGAAGCAAAATAGGGAAGGGGTAAGGGAAAGGGAGTTTCTGGACTCACTGAGCCTTAGCAAATGCTTTGTGGACCAAAGTGCTTTGTTACCAGTACAACAGAGTCTGTCCAATGTAAATCACTTAGCAACCAGAAGGGAACATGGAGAAATATCAATATCACTATTGTAAATGTACAAGTAGATTTAAACATTTTGTTCTCAGGACACTCACAGAGTAGACCCTGACCATGACTTATGGATAACACTTTCATTGCTGTGGTACTTGTTAATTCTTAACATAGTAAAATAAGTATATTCTCTATCAAAGATACAGTGTATTATGGAAGACACAATATTCATAGTCAAATTATTTCATGGACTACTTGTAATATACAAAGTTAAGACTGAATTAATTTGATACACTCTAGATTTCCTTCAGTGGCATAGTCATAGATGACCCTCATCCCCCATAAAGTGAATCATTTTGACTTTGAGTTTCTTTTTCCTCATCTTTTTCTAAGATCCTAGTGAAGGCCTGTGGGCTACTTTGTTCCTTGTTGTAAATCTCATGTCAATCAAAAATGCTGCTTCTAAGTGTTTTGTGGGTTATTATGGACATAGTTCCTCTTGTTCATATGCAGAAATACCCTATAGGATCTTTTTTTTTTGAGATGGAGTCTTGCTCTGTCACCCAGGCTGGAGTGCAGTGGTGTGATTGATCTTTGCTCACTGCAACCTCCGCCTCCTGGTTTCAAGCCATTCTCCTGCCTCAGCCTCCTGAGTAACTGTGATACTGTGATTACAGACACCTGCCACCACGCCCAGCTAATTTTTGTACTTTTAGTAGAGACAGGGTTTTACCATGTTGACCAGGCTGGTCTCAAACACCTGACCCCAGATGATCTGCCTGCCTCGGCCTCCCAAGCTGCTGAGATTACAAACACGAGCCACTGTGCCCAGCCAGGATCCTTTAATTACATAAAAGTAATAGTGAAAAATCACAAAATAGAAAAACTTGGGAAAATCTTACAGTATCTAATTTATAAAATAAGGAATTTGGTCCATGACATTCTTGCAGTTCAGGTTTGATCAAGGCCAAAGATGAAGCTTTCTCAATTATATCTGATGACACAGAATCATATAGTATGGTATCTCACTATGTGTTATCGTGAAATCATAATACGTATGTAGACTTAACATTGGATTCACATTTCATTGATTTTTTTTAAACCCAGTGAATTATACATTTGGTCTATTTTGAATATGTTAGTCATGAATACATGATTACCAGTCCAAAAAGAAAAACAGTACAGAACTTCTAGGAATTTATAATTAGTTGAATTTTAATAAAGATGTGTTTTATTCTAGACATAAGCAGTGTTAAGAGAAAGGAAATCTTATTTGTTGAAAGAAAATGCATCTGGGTAAATGAATCTTTACTCTTTTTTTACTAATTTGTCTGGCTTGGGGAAAAAAAGTTTAATGAGTATCTAGTTTAAAAGTTGCTTACCAGTGCATTTATAAATGCCCCTTACCCACTCTTTCCCACTGCCCTTCCCTGCCATATTTTTTTCCCTTCACACTTCTCTGCTCATGGGCTGCTTAGGTTGCCAACCAGTGGGAGGCATGCCAAAAGCAGACAGAGTGGCTTTGGGTGGTTATTACTGGATCCCTGCCCTGACTGAGCGAGTTGCAGAGAAGAGCTGTTTATATTTCCTGCTCCCAGCAGGGCCCTGGTCCATGGGCGGGGGTCGGTAGGTGGCTTGTCCTCCCACAAAGCCATGAGGGGCTGAAGTTACAGGTGCTCCCCTCGGGATCAGGTCTCAGTCCTTGCACATTCCCTGTCATTGTTGGCTTCTGGTACCATGTTAGCTGCCTGCTGTGCCCTCCCCCACATAAACTATAAAATACATTTCAGTAGTGAGGGATATTACCAGAATTGACGCTAATTTGTTCCATAAGTGAGTTTTGTTAGTATATGAATGTATGCTTGCCTATATTTACCAGGTCCTGTCAAAAACTTTGAGGCGACCTAATGAAATTTATAGAAAAAAGGAAACATTATAGAGTTTGCTCTCAACAGATGGGTAGGTAGGTAGGTAGGTAAGTAGGTCTCTCTATATATGTGTACCTGACACAGTGCTAGATACTGAGATAAAGTAACATCTTTTTTGATATTGATGTCAAACTTATACAGTTCATCAGTGACAGAGCAGGAACAAATATTCATTGCTTTATTCTTGCATTCATGTATTCATTCAGTAAACATTTATTAACTGACTTCTATGGATCAGGCATTGCGTCAAATATTGGAGACAAAGCCAATCAAAACATAGTAGCAACACTACAGTAACGCCCAGAAGAGGCAGGGAGGGAGAAAAATAAGAGCCATTAATCGCTTTCCAGGAAGAATGAAGACACCACAGGAGTTCACAGAAAGACCCTCACTTGACTCAGATGGGCTCAGAGAAGGATCTCAGTGAAGCTGAGCCTTGAAGGAGGAGTCAGCAAGGTAGTCAAGCAGAAGAACAGGAGTCGTATACCCAAAGTGATAGAAGTGGGAGAGACTCGGGCTGTGTGGGAAACAAGCAGTATTTTGGAATTCCTGGAGCAAAGGAGACCTGAGTGTGTGGCAGGAAAAGTAGGCAGGGGCCAGAGCATGGAGACCTTCACAGTCTATCTTGCGTAGTATAAAATCATCCTGCTCAAAGCAGGGAGAGACCTTAATGGCAGTGGTAGAAGAGAGGACTGTGAGGAGCTTTATGGGGTAGAGCCGTCACTCAAGTATCCGTGTTGTAGCAGCAGCAGGGAGAGCAGTCAGGAAGCTCTGATGGAGATCCAGGCACGAAATGCTGAGTGTGAACCAAGGCGGAGATTATGCCAGTGGAGAGGGGGTGTTGCATACCAAAGATATTTAGGGGAAGACTCAGTAGAACTTGGCAGTGGATTGTAGGCAGGATGTGAGAGAGAGATCGGATTCTAGGATAACTGCCAAGTTCCTGGCTTGAAGGGGAAGAGGAAGAATTAAATGTCCTGGATTCATGTCTTTTCTCCCAGGCCATTTATTGACCACTTATTCTGCACTAGGTAGGGTATTACATTGCTTTATAAGTGGAGGCTCCTTTAATCGTCATAATAATCCTGTGAGAAGAGAAAGTATTTTTTTAGTATCCCCATCTTACAGATAAGGAGACTGAGGCTGAGCCTTGAATCTAGTTCCCTAAAGTTTTCACCCTAGTGAGACAGTCGTAGAGCTAGGATTCCAATTTGGGCAGTCTAAGTCTCTAGCTTGTGTTCTTAACTACTATGCCATGTAAGGTATGTAGTATGTGGCATTAATATTTTCACAGCTACACATCAAAGTGGGCTTGTTTCAGAAATTCTTCTAAGTGATAAGCGATTTTCT